TCCTAGACAGATGTAGACTTTGAGATTTTAAACATTAATCTGCCATCTGACATAAGACACTATCCGGTGCTGCAAGTTATAAAGGGTAAGGCAGATTGGATGGATGGCAGTAGGGTGGGGAAGTAAATACAGTCAAAATCTCCTTCACTACATTCTGGGTATTTGGGCCTCTTGTTCTTTCAGAGTTTAATATATTTAGAGTAGTACATTCTTCCCTTTTGTAAGCATTAACATGTAAGTACGTCTTCACTACCTATATAGCTAACCGAAGACTGCTGTTTCCCACCATTCTCTAACTGAAAATGGCAGTTCTTGCAGGGTGACCCAGGGTTCCCTAAGAGTTCCTTTTTGGGGGTACAAGAGTAAAAATTATTTTCATAATAATTTTATGAGTTTATTTGCTTGTTTCACTTTCATTTCCTTATGAATATAGAGATTCCAGAGATCACATGATGTGTGATTTTGAAACAGATTGAATACTAAGGAAGATGTGAGAATTCTGTTGTCCTCTATGAAATCTGACATCAAAGAGATTTGCAAAAGTATAAAATGATGCCAAAATGTTTTTGAAAAGTTTTCATAAAAGTATTTGATTTAGGGCCGGGGATTTAGCTCAGTGGTTTCACCGCCTGCTGCACAAGAGCAAGGACCCAAGTTCGATCCCCAGTACGAAAAAAAAAAAAAGATTTATATTAATATGCAATGGATTTATTTTTATTATTAAGTGAGTTAAATAATTTTAACATCTCACTTTTAATTTTGAATACAGCAAGTATAGCTTTACCCACAGGAACAAAAACTTTTTGGGATCTTAATAATTTTTAAGACCATAAGGGATTGAGATCAAAAAGTTTGAGAACTGTCCACTTCACTTATGAAACTTAAAAAAAATTTAGGGCTGGGGATTTAGCTCAGTGGTTTTGCCGCCTGCTGCTCAAGCGCAAGGACCCGAGTTCGATCCCAGGTACCAAAAAAAAAAAATTATTAAAGGTCACTTCTATATATTTCACTGTGCAATATGAGTAATACATTTGAACTACCTTAAAGTATAGATTTCTGGAGAAACCCTCTGTTATAACTTGTGTTTAGATGTTCCCCCAAAGCCTCATGTACTCACAGGTGTGGCTTTTTCAGAGGTGGCTGGATCTAGAGTGTGTGACACTGGGATTGATTCATGGTGCAATGCTAGGATCAAGGGCATTAGGATTAAGAGTGTGAGTGTTATCCTCCCTAAGTAGTTTGGATAAGATATAAGGGATAGAAAGAGCTGTGATATTCCCTTGCTTGCTTTGCTACCTTTTGCCTGCCATGAACTGTTTCTCCTCTCTGATGCCCCTCTGCCATCCACCCTGCTTTGGAGCCAACTGATTATGAACTGAAACCTCTACAAACTGTGAGCCAAATAAACCTTTCCCCCTTCAACTTTGAGTGTTGAGTATTTTGTCTCAGTAGCCAGAGAAGAGTAACTAAGACACCCCCCACCTTTAGGATGGGGTCTTGTTATGTTGCCCAGGCTGGCCTCAAACTTCAGAGCTGAAGTAATCTTCCTGTGTCAGCCTTACTGGAAGCTGAGGCTACAGATATGTCACTGCTCCCAGCTCTAGGACCTCTTTTTTCATAGCATAATACCCTCCTTCTTGTCACTACTGGACAGATACAGGAAACTCTTAAGGTTTCAGTAATTGATTATAGGTCATGACACCAGCCATTGAGTAGTAGCCTTTTGCTTCCTTCTGCATGTCTTTTTTCATCTCCAACATCATGGACTACTACGACTTAAGCTATCTATACCTTGGCTCTTTCATGAAATAGGAAGACAAGTGAGTGGGTGTTAAGGAAAAGTGTTTTTAAAATATTGGCACCAAACTGAAACTTTCTCCTAGATTTAATAAAGGGATTGACAGTCTGTTAAAGAAGAGAGAGGACAGTAAGAAAACCTGGGCAGTTGTTTTCTTTCTCAGTTGAATACTGGTAGGTGTTTTTCTAATTTCAGTGGTTTTAGAGTTTGTTCTTTATGAATGAGGAGAGTATTCTTGATTATTCAGTAACACAGTTATATGAAGTGAACATTAGTTTTGGAAACTTGGCCAGAGACTATGTTATGTCTCTGGCAGGGAAACCTACTTCATGCTTTCACACTGTCTTGTACAAACTTAAGTCCTGAACAAATGTTAACAGAATTAGGTTAAACTGAGCCCTATACTTAGTCATGAAAGGCATGAGTGTCCCTGTCTCTCTGAATGCCCTTTTGTTCCTCAATCTCCTACTTTCCCATTCCCTCATTTATTTAGTCCATACAGTATTTTTTAATGCAACCCCTATGTGACTGAGATAACTGTAATTTCTAATTCCTTTAAAAAGTCAATGAAATGCTGATTCTTCTTAAGGTGGAAAGAAATTGAGAAGTATAAGAGATCAATCTGTAAATGATATTTGCCTGCAATCTTGGTCTTCAAGTTCTGCTTTGCTTAAGTGGGAATATTTAAGCCATAGTCCTGGTAGTTTTTGCCCCTGCTTACTATAGCAGGAATGTCTTGGTCTCCGTTTTTAGAGGACCATCTTGCTGAACTCCACATTGTGCCTCACTTGAACTGTTGAGTCCTGAGACATACTTCCAATTACCCTGTGGCTTCCCTGTGCAGGACCTAGAGAATTGCAGTGGACTCACCAGTTGTACTCTTGAGTCATGAGCCTGTTGCTGCTCCTGCTTTGTTGTTCAGAGGCTGGGGTTCCAGGCAAGTGGACACTGAAAAGGAGACTGCTGCTGGGCTTGTTGGTGGACACCTGTAATCCCAGCATTTTAGGCGGTTGAGGCAGGAGGATTGCTGCAAGTTCGAGTCCAGCCTGGGCTACATAGTGAGTTGAAGGCCAGCCTAAACTGCGTGGTGAGACCTTGTCTCAAAAACACAAAACAAAACCGAAAAAAAAGAGAGAGACTGCTAACTGAAGCCTCTTGCTAACTGCTTTGAATAAGAAAATAATTAATAAGACTTAGGATGTGAATATATACTTTTACTTTTGCCAGTAAATAAATTTGTCTGTAAGAATAATTGATTCTTTTTGTAGGGAGGATGAGAATTCTGTATTTCTCTTGCCCTCTCGTAAGACTTTTTAAAGGAACTGGCCTAAAGATTGACCAATTGAGGACAGAAATTTAGCTCAGTGGTACCACCGCCTGCCTCTCAAGCACAAGGTCCTGAGTTCGATCCCTAGTACCAAAAGAAAAAAAAAAAATTGACCAATTGATTCTGGACTTGGCCAATTCCTACTATGAGTATGTACTTACTTAATGGAGGAGGGTGGGTGTGTGTTGTCTGTTGTGACCCTACCACTCAGGAAGTGATATCCACAGGGAAATGTCTTATGACCCAGATGAGCTTCAGTTGGCCGTGGAGTGAGGGCAGAAGAAGAATCATGTGATATGAAGATGAATCATTTAGTTAGCATATTTACTTTTCTTCCTTTGAATTATCAGTTTGAGGACTGGAAGAAATGCGATATAGTATATGTAAAATAACCTTAGAGGACTGACTGGGTTGTGGAAGAAAACATTTAGAAAGGAAGCTATAATTTCTACGCTTCCCATATTTTCAGAGACCTCTGAGGATTGTTACTGTTAGCCAAAAAAGAAGGATTTAGTTTTTATGGTGTCTCATGTCCTGATTTCTGCCTAACAGAATTACTTAAAAGAGTCCCAGGGGGTGGGGATTTAGCTCAGTGGTTCTGCCACCTGCCTCACAAGCGCAAGGACCCGAGTTCGATCCCCGGTACCAAAAATATAAATAAAATAAAAGAGTCCCATTTTAGCCAAGTAACAGATTCTTTTTCCTGTTGTGATTTTTTTTTTCTGGTTGCTTTCTCAACTTGTCATTCCTAAACTTTCTATTTCAAGGCTTTGTTAACACCTAGGAGGGTGGGGATTTAGCTCAGCGGTTCTGCCACCTGCCTCGCAAGCACAAGGTCCTGAGTTCGATCCCCAGTACCAAAAAAAAAAAAAAAAACACCCAGGAGGTAGGAATGATAGAGGATTTCACTCATCGATGAAAGGACTTTAACTTCATTCTATCATTCCATAATACTTTGTTTATTTCTTTTCCTTTGATACTTTTTGAGGCTTTATATCACTCTCCCCCCCTCTCCATAGTGGGGATTGAACCAAAAGCCTTCACACTGATCTACATCTCCCATCTTTTATTTTTTATTTTCAGACAGGGTCTCGCTAAGTCAGGCATGGCTCAAACTTGTGATTCTCCTGTCTCAGTCTCTCAGAGTGCTGGGATCACAGATGTGCTGAATTTACGTAATTTTTACAGAGCAGTTGTGTGTATATATAAACCTTAGAAGTTAGAGTTTAGTGATGTTAAGTTTCTGGCAGATCATATAAAGAAAGAATAAATGGGGCAGGGATACATGCAAAAATCCATGATGTTAATTTCTTACTTGTGGGAGCAAAAATGACTTTGGAGCCCTTGATACACAGTTTGATGTTATAACCTTTCTGGAAGGGCAAGAAGCAATACTGTGTTGGCGTAAGATTGCTGCCCAGGACTCAAGATGTGCCACTGAGTTGGCTTCTGGACCTTGCTCTTAGAAATGTACGAATCTATTTACCTTGTTTGTTTGAAGCCCAAAGTTAGAGGTAGGTGCTTACATGAAGGAAGAGAGATAGAGAAAAGGAGCATAGCAAAAGAAAAGAATGAGGAGGCATGGCACCTTTTTAGGCCACAGGTCTCTCTACCAATGGGTCATATGTGCTGGTATTTACAAGCTATGGAGAAGCCTTTGTCTGACTGTAAGTAGGGATTGTTGGCCTGTGCCTCTCATTTCCTTCTAGATTTCTGCTGACTTGGTCTGTGGCCACTGTAATCAACTCACCTTTTAAAAAATTTTTGGTGCTGGGGATTGAACCAAGGGCCTTGCACTGTCTATCCATATGATCTACCACAGAACTAAATTTTGACCCCTCAACTCACCTCTCATATTCTCTTTTTTGTGTTTAGAGGATCATCGCTGTCTTCAAACCCAAGAATGAAGAGCCATATGGGCACCTTAATCCTAAGTGGACCAAATGGCTACAGAAGTTGTGCTGTCCCTGCTGCTTTGGCCGTGACTGCCTTGTTCTCAACCAGGGTTATCTCTCAGAGGCAGGGGCCAGCCTGGTGGACCAAAAACTGGAACTCAACATTGTACCCCGTACAAAGGTCAGTGACCCATTTCCAGGGACCCTTAGTACCTGTGCAAAGTTTTCCTGGGGCCAAGACCTATTATTGAGACTTTGGGTTCAGTAGTGGCTGTTTAAGTCTAAGGTTCTCTACCTTTTGCAGGAAGAGTGACAGGATTAGACATATGATTTGATCATCTGATGAAAGTTATCCTCAGAAGTATATACATACAGATTTTACACAAAGGTTCAGGAATTTCATAGAAGTCAAATGCACATTTATGAGCTTCCTTGGTCTTTGGATCCCAGGTAATCTCAAACTGGTTAGAAACTTAGCTACTTTTGCAGTTTACTCTCTTAGACTTCTGAGCCAGTCCAGAATTTAAATACAGCCTTTTAAAAATTATTGTTATTTTTTTAAAGTGACAAGATCTCATCATGTTGCCTAGGCTAGACTGAAGTGGGCTCAAACCTTTTAGCCTACAGAGTAGCAGAGACTGCAAAAGTGTACCACTGTACCTGGCATTAGATACAGGCTAGAATGAATTAGCTAACATCTTCTAAGTGCTTATGCAGAGTCTGGTGAGGAAGACTTTAGGATAGGCTGAGTGTTAGAGTAAAATGTTTGACTTGAGCACTTTTAGGGAATTGCATGGAATTTTCATCACCTGTCTTTATTCTGTGGAATCCTGGAAATTGTCTGAATATACCAGAATAGAGGTCCAGGATGGAGATACAGTTTTGGTAGTGTACTTACCTCAGATGCACAAGACTCTGGGTTTAATCCCCAGCAATACACACAGGTCCCAGATTCAGGCAAATTCTCACCTAGAATGGATTTACACATATCTTGTATGTTTTACAGATTTAGTCGAGGTTCTGATGAAGGATTTGGACCACTACTCTACAAAACATACTTGAAGATACAGAACTGATTGCGTACAATTTCAAGGAGTTTACTGATCCCAGTTTAAGAATCCCTGTACTACAGGGTGCTCCATGAAACTCTCCAAGAGTTATGAGGGGAAGGAATATTCTGATCAGCATACAAACACTTAAGGACACATCCTCACACTGAGTGTCTAACTAGGTTTAGAAACAACTTACGTGGAACTTTGATCTGATTCCCTAAGGCTGCAGAAGCATCCTGATAGTTTTGAGTCTTAACCGTCTTTGAGTATCTAGTGAATGCTTTAGCTGCTGTTTTCAGGAAAAAAAAACATATTTGTGATCAATATTTTGCATATAATTTCTAGAGCAGTGTTCTTAGACCAGTTGAAGTTCATCCATTGACCCTCTCCTGTAAATTAAAAACTCCTGCTTGAGGTTTCCTTCACAGGTTCAGGTGGCAGGCTCTGAGGACACAGAGGTTGATCAGCAGATGGGAATGTCCTTTGAAACTTGATTTTGGCTTTCTTAGGGTATTTTAGAAGAAAATGTGACTACTGTGGATGTTGACTCTATTTGCCCTTTTTTTTTTTGGTACTGGGGATCGAACTTGGGTCTTTAAGCTTGTGCAGCAGGCGGCGAAACCATTGAGCTAAATCCCGGGCCCTCTATTTGCTCTTGGTCACTAAACTCTAAACAATAAGCCCAACTAGTTTGTAAGTTTCTAGAAGTCAGAGACCACTTCTTGAGATATCCCTCTCTCATTCTCAATACCTAGTAAATTGCTGTATTTATAATAAGTGTTCATTAAGTACCAGCTGACATGACTTGTGAATGCATGTCAAATTATGAGAAACAATAACAAAGATCCCCTAGCTTCAGGTCCCATTTGACACCTGAATCACTGTGTGGCTTTATACAGCTCATTCCCTTCCTTTACACTTTTTTTTTTTATCTGTGTGTGTAGATGAACAGCACACTTTGACTATCTTATATTATACTTAATGCTCCTAAGTCTCCTGTCTAACCTGAAATCTTCCTACTGGGCCTTTCCTAAACTCTAGAAACTCTTGTAAATACTCCTTACTCATCACTCTGTGATTTCCATCCTTTCAAGGCAGATAGTAGACTGCCCCTGACCCTCTGCCTGCTAGGGGTGCTTTTGGAGTACAGTGGCTAAAAATCAGAAAGTGAGTTTAAATTCTGGCTCTGCAGTTTTCCTCCCCTCCCCTCCCCTCCCTTTCCCTGTACTGGGGTTTAACCCAGGGCCTTTGCCCTGAGCTAGATCCCCAGCCCTTTTATTTTTAATTTTGAAGTAGGGACTTGCTAGTTGCTTAGGCTGGGTTCAAACTTGTGATCTTCTTGCCTGATGCCTCGTACAAGCATGTGACACCACACCCAGCTTGCATCTTTTTTTTTTTTTTTTGGGTACTGGGGATCGAACTCAGAACTTTGGGCTTGCAAGGCTGGCGCCAGAACCACTGAGCTAAATCCCTGGCCCAGCTTACATCTTTTTTATTTTGATACCAGGGATCGAACTCAGGACCATGCTTGTCAGGCAGGTGGTGGCACTGCTGAGCTCAATCCCCAGCCCCTAAGCTTGCACCTTTTTATTTGTGTGATCTTTGGGCAAGTCAGTTAACTCACCCTACACTCAGTTTCCTCGCTGTGAAAATGGGGATATAAATAGTTACTACTTTGTTGAGTGGCTCTCAAGATTATATAAGATAATCCTTATAAAGCACATAGCCCTGTGCCTGACACAATGTAAACACTTGGTACATGTTAACCTGTGGTATTTTTCTGGGCTATTCTAATTTTTAGTGTCATCTCCACATCTCTTTCTTCCCCATCTCTGGTCCTCTTCTTTCTGTTAGGGAATCTTAATGAGACCTGAAGATCTTTTGCATCAGAAAATCAGCAATAGCAAAAACACTGTCTTCATGAGACTGAGATGAGACAGAACTTTGCTGCCAGAGAATAGTAAGAGAAGTCTCTCCCTTTCTTTCATCCCCAACCCTTGTGATAGGATTCTATCTAGTTGATCTGACCATCTATCACTATGGAAACAAGGCTCACTTTTCAGTGGAGCTTCAAATAGTAAGGTTCTAATCCTCATTCACTGGCGCTTTCTGCTGTCTGTTCCTGTGAGGTTTCAGATTATGATAGTTTCATTAGTTGCAGGAAAAAAGTGGATGGTTGGAAAAAATGATCACAAATTAATCTGACAGGAGGAAAATGATGGTTTATAGCTTGGGTTTTTCATAGTTGAAATTGATGGAATAGCCTTAGGAAAGCTTCTTTTCCTTCAATCCTATGCCTAAGTGTCCTAATTTGTGAGTTAGGGAGCTCCTTCCATAGGACCTTGCACATTTATTTTAGGAACTCTGTTAACACTGAATGGATAGAAGAACAAAAGGAGAGATGGGAGGGAATTACTTCACCTCTAAGGTTTATGAATTAAATAATTAGTTATTTGTAATGAATTTTGCAAGGCTTAGGAAAGGGATTTTCTTATAAATTTAATGTAAGGTTCTTACATGCTAAAACCTACTTGCTATCAACTCTGAGAGAGGCTCATAACTCATTCATTCATTCTTTCATTTATTCATTTAATATTTAGTGAGCATGTGCCAGGCACTTGTTAGGTGCTGGGGATGCTAATGTAAGATATTCTCTTATCTCCCAAATCTCATTCGTTTTAAGAGAGAATTCAGATATAGGAATAGATCATCTCAAGACGAAAGTGTTAAGTGTGGTTATGGATGCACATATGGATTACCTGATGTCATCACAGTTTGACAATCAAGTGTAATATTACCATTATAATGTTTGTACATTATAATTTTTTTTAAATAAAAAAATGTATTTTAGGCCGGGGATTTAGCTCAGCGGTTCCGTTGCCTGCCTCAAGTCCAAGGACCCGAGTTTGATCCCCGGTACCAAAAAAAAAAAATTTATTTAGTGTAAAAATCAAAAGGCACAAAAGGAAAAAAAAAAAAAGGCACAGAAGGGTCAACAGAGAAAAGTAATTCAGTCTCTTCCCATTCCAGTTTGTTGACTACTCAGTTTCCTTCCTCAGAGACATTAACTGATACTAGTTTCTTGTGTAATATTCCAGATATAGTTTCTGTATTAATATAGAAGTCCATTAAAAGCAAAAAAATTATTCATATTTTTAATATGAATAATTGTACAAAGTACAAAATTCAAAAGAAACAAAAGGGTATTAGGGTGAGTAAATTGCAGTTTGTTTGTATCTGGAAAGAAAATAGGTCTTGGGCCTCTTCTAATCCAAGAGGTGATTGTTAGTCAACGTAATTCACACTAGCTGCTGTAACAACCTCTGAATCTCAGTGGCTTAATATATTAAATAGGAGTTTAATTTTTGTCCACATCTATGTAGCAACTCACATAGTGACATGGGATCTGAGATATTATGACTTTTTTTTTTATCTCAAAACTCATCATTACTAGCTGTACATATTGGGAATTGTGAACTAAGGATCATTGAGGGGCTGAGCCTGGAAGTGATGTACATACATCACTTTATCAGTATGCCATTGGCCTGAACTAGCCATATTCCCTATCCTAGATGCTCAGAAGCCTGAGTGAGGAATGTATTCTTTCTCTGTGTCTCAGAAGAGGAACAGTATTGGTGAACTTCTAGCTATTCTCTGCCTAGTGGTCTGGTTCCTTAAACTTTACTCTAACTTGAGTATCTCTTCTCTTTTCACTGTAGGTGGTATACCTGGCCAGTGAAACCTTCAATTATAGTGCCATTGACCGAGTGAAGTCCAGGGGCAAGCGGCTTGCACTAGAGAAAGTTCCAAAAGTTGGGCAGCGATTTAACCGCATTGGGCTACCTCCAAAGGTATTGACTATACTTGTGTAGCTTATCAAAGATGCTGGTATACAATGACATAGTCATTCACGTGGAAAAGCAAACTGCCTACAGACTTGAAGATAGACACATGAACAGTCTATCCTATGGCCCCTTTACTGGGTCCCTGGCTAATCCATAGGGTCTTTGGACTTGTAAGAAAATGCTTTTGTTCTTTCTTGGTTGCAGGTTGGTTCATTCCAGCTCTTTGTTGAGGGCTATAAAGATGCAGACTATTGGCTGCGGCGTTTTGAAGCAGAACCTCTCCCTGAAAACACCAACAGGCAACTATTGCTGCAATTTGAGCGATTGGTAGTGTTGGATTATATCATCCGCAACACTGGTGAGTAGCTATGAATGGTCCTGCACTCTGTGCCAGGCTGTTCTGAGGCATGGGGAAGACCTGCAGGCATGCAGAGTTTGGGAGTCAGACATTTTGTCAGGATGAATATTTTCTTGTATTGGAGGGGTCATGCACATTTAGAGAGGGTCTCAGAATACAAAGCTCCAGGATTAGCTTTGTCCAAACACATGGTTATTTCTGCATCTTCTAGTCTATACCACTGATACTCAGGTGTGTTTCTTTGCCAGTACCATGCTGGGTTTTTTTGGATTTGTTTTTTTTCAGTACCAGGGAACAAACTTGGGACCTTGTGCTTGTGAGGCAGGTGGTAGAACCACTGAGCTAAATTGCCACCCCTACCATGCTGTTTTTGTCACAGTGGCTTTGTAGTATAGTTTCAAGTTGGGCATTGTGATACCCTCTGCCATGTCTCTGTTACCTAGAATTGCTTTTGCTATTCTAGGTCTCTTCTGATTCCAAATGAATTTTTGGATTGTTTTTTCTAGTTCTGTGAAGTATACTGTTGGGATTTCAATTGGGATTGGATTGAATCTGTACAGAAGTTTTGGAAGTATGGCCCATAATTTGTATGTCTTGCTGCTAGGCAGCTCTGATTTGAATTTGATTGTTCCTATTGGATTGAACTATCAGTGGTACATGCATTATTGTCCCATTGAGCAGCTTGTACTGCTTCTCAGGAGGTCTTTGATTAAAATAATACAAAGAAAGGTATTGATTTAGCAGTCCAAATGTCATCATATTATAATTCCTTAAGGAAAACATTGAAATGGTATAAAAAATTATACAGCTAATTTGTAGTACAGCAGTTGTAAATGCATACTGTATTATATATACCGGCAATGGGGTACTTGTAAGATTTCCATGTTAAAATTTAGAGAATTTATTATTGATAAAATACAAAAATAAATTTCTTCTAACTTTATGAAGTAAATAAATTTGTTGATTTTGGTTTTTTGAGACAGAGTCTCGCTCTAATTCAGGCTGGCCTTGAGCTCACTATGTAACCCAGGTTAGCCTCTAACTTGCATTGAATATCCTGTGTCAGCCTCCTAGTGCTGGAATTATAGGCATGCACCACCATGCCTGGCTATAAGTTTGTTGATTATTATAATAATTTAATTGATATGAATAGCATTAATATCTAATTTGGTAGTAATTATCAAAGTTAAGCCACTAACTAGATTTGGCTCATTTATAGACTTTGTATTAAATTTATTAGTAAAAAGACTGATAAAAGTGATTAGATCTATTTGTATCACCAGTGGTACAAGCCAGCAGGAATGTGTTAATTCATCTAATCTGACCAAATCTACATATATTGAGGACAAATTTGTGCTTTATTGGAACTATATTTTTTCTAATATTTTGTATTATAGTAAAATATACCTAACATAAAGTTTACTGTCCTAAACATTCTTAAGAGTTACAGTTCCTAAGTCTTAAATACATTTATACTGTGCAGCTATCACCATCATCAAACTCCAGAACTCCTTTGGTCTTATAGAGCTGAAATTCTGTATTTACTGAATAATAACTCTTCATTCTTCTCTTCCTTTGGCCCCTGGAAACAACTCATTCTACTTTTTGTCTCTGATTTTTGACTACTCTAAGTACCTCATCTAAGTGGAATCATACAGTATTTGTATTTTTTGTGATTAACTTATTTTACCTAGTATAGTGTCCTCAAGGTTCATCCTGTTGTAGTGTATATCAGAATTTCCTTCCTTTTTAAGAGTGAATAATGTTCCATTTTATGTTCATACCACATTTTGAGTGTCAGTTCATCCATCAGTGGACATTTGGGTTTATACATTTTAGTTATTGTGAATAATGCTCCTAATGAATAGGAATGTACAAATATCTCGTCAAGATTTTCTTGCACTTCTTTTGAATATATACCCAGAAGTGGATTTACTGGAATATATGGTAATTCTATTTGTAATTTTTTTGAGAAACCACTATACTGTTTTCCACAGTGGCTCTTCCATTTTCTGTTCCCACCAACAATGCATAATCTACATCTTTGCCAAACCACCATTCCCTGGGGGGCTTTTGAGGAGGCCGTGGTGATGGTGCAGAATCTTGCACATGCTAAGCACATTGAAGCTACACCCCTAGCCCCTATTTTTTGTTTTGTTTTGTTTTCTTTTTGGAGAGTAGCCATTCTGATCAGTATCAGATGATACCTCCTTGTAATTTCACTTTGCAGTTCCCTAATGAATAATGATATTAAAAGTCTTTCCATGTGTTTATTGGCCAGTTTTATATCCTCCTTAGAAAAATATCTGTTAAAGTCCTTTGCTCACTTTGGAATCAGTTTTTTTGTTCGTTTTTATTGTTTTTGAGACACTTGCTTTGTAGTTCAGGCTGGCCTCTGACCGCAGCCTCTCAAATGCTGGCATTACAGGTGTGTGCAACCACATCTGGCCTGTTTTTTGTTGTTGTTGCTGTTGAGTTGTTCAAGTCCCTTATATATCCTGCATATTAATCTCTTATCGGATGTATGATTCACAACTATTTCCCCCCATTCTGTTGCCTTTTTACTTTGTTGATAAGGGCTTTTTGTTGTTGTTATTGTTTTGTGGTGCTGGTGATTGAACCCAAGGCCTTGGATATGGTGCTAGGCAAGCAATATACCACTGAGCTACATCCTCATCCCTGTTTTTTGTTTGTTTTGTTTTTTGAGATAGGGTCTCACTGTGTAATCTAGGCCAGCCTTGCACTTGCTGTTTAGCTCAGGCTGAATTCAAACTTGAGATCCTCCAACCTCAGTCTCCTGCGCGCTGGGATTACAGACATGCACAATCACAAATGTCAGTGGTGTCTTTTGATACACACACATTTTTAATGTGCAAAATGCAATTTAGTTTATTTTTTGCCTATATATTTTGTGTCATGCTCAAGAATCATTGCCAAATCCAATGTCATAAAACCCCTGCCTTATATTTTCTTGTAAGAATTTGTAGTTATGTCTTAAATTTAGGTCATAGATTCATTTTGATTTAATTACCATATGTGGTACTAGCTAAAGGTTCAACTTCATTTCTTTTTGGATATCTAGTTTTCTCTGCACTGTTTGATGAAAAGACAACACCATTTAGTAGTCTTAGCACCCTTGTCAAAATTATTTGACCATATATGTGAAGGTTTATTTCTGGACTCTTTTATTTCATTGGTCTATATGTCTGTCTTAATGTCGGTACCATACTATCTGAATTACTATACCTTTGTACTCTTTTTTTATTTTTTAATTTTGTTTGGTACCAGGGATCGAACTCGGAACCTTGTACTTGCGAGGCAGACATCGGCACCACTGAGCTAAATCCCCGGCCCTATACTCTTTTAAAATCAGAAAGTGTGAGTCCTCCAACTTTGCTATTTTTTCAGGATTTCTTTGATTAATTAGAGTCCCTTGAGATTTTATAAATTTTAGGATGGGGTTTTCTATTTTTGCAAAACCCATCATTGCAATTTTGATAGAGATTACATTAAGGGCTTGGGGTGTGGGTCAGTGAGCGAGAGAGAGAAGAGGAGAGAAGAGAGGAGAGAGGAGCAGAGAGAGAAAGAACACAGGGAGGCAGGCAGACAGAGACAGAGATTGCATTAAATCTGTGGATCACTTTGGGTAGTAGTGACATCCTAAAATATTAGGTCTTCCAATCTGTGAACACAGAATCTTTTCACTTGTATCTTCTTTAATTTCTTTTAAGAATGTTTTATAAATTTTTTTTTGTACAAATCTTTCACCTCCTTGGTTAACTGCTAAGTGTTTTATCCTTTTGAAGCTAATTGTAAATGGGATTGTTATCTTAATTTCCTTTTCAAAAAGATGGTTCATTGTTAGTACATAGAAGTGCAACTGATTTTTGTGTGTTTGCTATATATCCAGCCACTTGGCTGAATTTTTAGTTCTAACATCTTTGTTGTGGAATCTTTAAGGTTATCATCTCTGAATAGAGGTAATTTTACTTCTTTTTTGATTTAGATGTCTTTTATTCTTTTTGTTGTTGTTGTTTTTGTTGTTTTGGTACCAGGAATTGAACTCAAGACCCTGGATTTGCAAGGCAGGCGGCAGAACCACTGAGCTAAACTCCCAGCCCTAGATGCTTTTTATTCTTTTTCTTGACTGATTCTTCTGATTAGGATTTCCCAGTAGAGTGTGTGTGTGTGTGTGTGTGTGTGTGTGTGTGTGTGTGTGTGTGTTACTGGGAATAGTCTAGGACTTTCACATGAGCTACATCCCCAGCCTTTAAAAAAAATTTTTTTAAATTTTGAGACAGTATCTCACTAAGTTGCTAAATTGCCCAGGTTGGCCTTGAACTTGTGATCTTCTTACCTCAGCCTCCCAAATGCTGGGATTACAGATGTGAACCGCCACACTCACCTTTCAGGACTATATTGAATAGAAGTGGTAAAAGCAAGTCAGACTCCATAGGACACACCTATAATACCAGCCACTCAGTTGGCTGAGCAGGAGGATGAAAGTTCATGGTCAGCCTGAACAACTTATTGAGACACTCTCAAAATAAAATTAAAAAGGGGGTGGGGTGGGTGGGATGTAGTTTAGTAGCGGAATGCTTGCCTAGTATTTATTCAGTCCCCAGCTTGGCGGGGGTGGGGTGGGGGGAGTAATGGTTAAAATAAAAAAGCAAGCATCCTTCTCTTGTTCTTGATCTTAGTGGAAAACCTTTCAGTCTTTCACTATAGTTTGATATTTGTTGTCATTTTAAAAAAATACGGCTTTTATTATGTTGAGGAAGTTGTCTTGTATTCCTGGTTTGCTTAGTGTTTTTATCATGAAGGGAATTTGGATTTTATAAAATGATTTTCTACATCAAATATGATGATCGTGTGGTTTTTAAAATTGATTTTCCTATACTTAACTTTTTTTTTGGTAACAGGGATTGAACTTGGGACCTTTCACTTATGCAGGTGGCGGAACCACTGAGCTAAATCCCCGGCCCCTATACTTAAGTTTTTTGCACTCCATAAATAAATATTTGTTCTTGGTAGAAATGTAGCTTTTGTTGAGGATTTTTACATCATCGCTCATAGGGGATATTGGTCTGTAGTTTTCTTGTAGTAACTCTGTCTGGCTTTATTTTTAGGGTAATGCTGGCCTCATAGAATGCTTTTTTCTAGGTTCCTATTGCATGGAATATTGTTTTCCATCCTTTGATTTTTGTTTTTTTTCCAGTACTGGGGATTGAACTCAGGAGCTTGAGCTTGCAAGGCAGGCGCAGTGCCAGTGAGCGAAATCCCCAGCCCTTTTGATTTAATCTGTATATTTTTTAATTAAATGTATTTCTTGTATACTGCATATTGTTGGGTTTTGTTTCTTGAACCATTCTGCTAATCTGTGTCCTTTGATTTGGGAATTGTCATTCACATTGACAGTTATTATTGAAAGGTATTCATTTATTACTGTGATTGCATTATTTTCCTGTTGCTGATTTCCTTCTTTTCCCTCCTTCCTGTGTAACTGCTCACCCTGTCTGATATATTCATTCTATTAGGGTTTTTTTTTTTTTTTGCGTTGTTGGCTTCATTGTGTTTTTCTAGGATATCCTTAAGAAGTTTTTGTAGTGCTGGTTTGGTGGTCATGAATTTCTTGAGGTGCTCTTTGTCATGAAAATATCTTATATCTCCATCAATTTTGAAAGAAGGTTTTGCAGGGTATCTGAGTTGGAAGTTATCTTTTAGGGATTGATATACTTCACTCTAAGATCTCTTGGCCATTAAGATTTGTGTTGAGAAGTGTGCTCTAATTCTAAGTGTTTATGAGTGATTCTTTGCTTTTCTCTCATAGCTTTAAAGATTCTGTTCCTGTATTGGACTTCTGGGATTTTGATTATGATGAAATATAGAGAGGTTCTCTTTTGATCATGGTTATTTGAGGTTCTATATGCCTCACTTCTGTATGCTTAATTCTTTCCCAGGATTTGGAAAGTTTTCTGTTATTATTTTTGTAAACAGGTTTTTTTATGCCTTTTGTTCTGTCTTGTGATTTTTCACTTACTCCAATTAATCGTAGCCTTTGTGTCATCTAGGAGGAATTGGATCCATTTTTCATGTTCTGTTGTTTTATTTAAGAGTACTGTAATCATCTTTGAAAGCATCCCTGTCTTCTAATTCTGATATTTTATCCTCACAGTAGTTGCTTCTGCTGCCCATACTTTGATTATAACCTAATTTCCTGGATTTCTGTTTGGAACCTTTTCATGGACTCTAACTCTCTTTGCTAAACTAATCATTCATGTCTTGTATCATTTTGTTTAGCTCAGTTTTTTATTAGAGTCTTCTGTAAGCTCCCTGATCGTTTTAATATCTCCATTATCTGATTAGTTGTATCTTCTGTGAGCCCATATAGCACCTCATTGTTTTGATTTTTAAGCTTCTCTGTTATCTTTTTTGTGTGTGGTGGTACTGGAGATTGAACTCAAGGCTTCATATGTGCTAGACAAACATTTTACCATTGAGCCACATCCCTAGGCCTGTTATTCTTTCAAATAATTTGTCCCTGTGGCTTTTGCTTTCATTCCTCTTGAAGCATCATAGATCGGCTTTGGAGGAATTGAGAGTATTGAGAGACATTTTGTTGCCTTATCTTCTCATGTTCTTTTGGGGTTTTTTTTGGTACCGGGGATCAAACTCGGGACCTTGAGCTTGCGAGGCAGACGTTGGAACCACTGAGCTAAATCCCCAGCCCTCTGTTGGTTTTTGTTTGTTTTGTGCTTAGGTTTGCATTTGCTTACAGTGGAAAGATTTTGTTATTAGCATGGAGATCTCTTTGGTTGGTCTGCTTTTCAGTGATGTACTCAGGGAGGGCGTGGCTAACTATGGTCCTTTGGCTCTGTCCCAGTATCCCACCACCCCTGTTAATTTGCGAGGGTGGATGCAATGTAATTGGTCCAGCACCCAGTTCTCCAGGGGTGGACCTCAGTATTGTTAATGCCACAAAAAAATCCAGGTATTGGCATATAGAGAAAACATATTAATAGCAGCAACCATGCAACCCTGGCAGTACCAACTAAATCAACAACAGTAATATTGTCCAAGACAAACTAGATATTTACATACTGTAAGAACTAGTAATGTGCCATCCTTAACCCTAGAAAAGAAATTATAATTATAGTATATATAGTAAGACAAGACAAATATTATAAACAGCAAATATCTACTGAGTGTGATAACTATGCCTCTACTAATGATAGAAAAGAATTTAATAGTAGTAACAGAGTTACCTATCTGAAGATGAATAAAGCTTAATGGTTATACTATTTTGTTTTGGGGGTTTATTTTTTTGATACTGGGGATCGAACTCAGGACCTTGTGCTTTCGAGGCAGGTGGCAGAACCACTGAGCTAAATCCCGGGCCCAGTGGTTATACTATTAAAGTTATAGAGGGCTGGGACTGGGAGAATGCAAGAAAAAAAATTAAACAGTAGGAGAAGAGAAGGAGGAGAGAAAAGTGAGTCAAAGGATCCTACCATAGAGTAAAAGGAAATTTATAGAATTAGATAAAGGTAACAGGAAAAAAATGAGAAAAGAAGGTAAAAGAAAAAAAGGGAGCAAAAAATATGGAGAATAAAAATAGAAACAAGTTTAAAGAAAAAGGAAAAAATAGGCATAAGAAAACAAGGACAAAGGAAAATCCCCAAACTCCTATAAACTGGTAAAGAAGAAAGAGTTAAGCTGGGCATGGTGGTGCACCCCTGTAATCCCAGCACTTGGGAGGCTGAGGCAGGAGGATCACAGAGTTCGAGGCCAGCCTGAGCTACATAGTGAGTCCCAGGCCAACCTGAACAACATAATGAGACCCTGTCTCAAAAAAAAAAAAAAGAAGAAGAAGAAAGAGTTAAGAGACAGAAAAAATAAAGAGTCCAAAAACAGGGGAAGGGCCGGGGATTTAGCTCAGTGGTTCCGGTGCCTGCCTCACAAGTGCAAGGTCCCAAGTTCGATCTCCGGTACCAAAAAAACAGGGGGCGGGGGGGGGGGGATCTCCGTATTTTGAATGAGTGGTTTCCTTCCAGGACTCCAGTTTCAGAGTCCAGCAAGACAGTTTAGTGGTTTTTTTGCCTGACCTAACAACCTGTAGGTTTGTGAGGTGCCCCCACTATTTCAGAGGACCCTCTCTTTACCCCAGGCTGTGGCAGTGCCTCCAATGAGACATGTTTAAACTGGTAGAGATGAAAGGCAGTCATACTTCAGATCTGGATGTAGGCAGCAGGGAAAGTGTTTGAATACATAATGCCGGCACTTTCAAACCTCCCTGTTTCTGAGCACAACTGGAATGAGAGGGACTGTGTTCTTCCTATCTTAAAACTTCTCCATGGATCTCTTTCTTTCTATCTCACTGCTCAGTCCCTGCCCATGGCTGTCTCCTGTGGCTGTCTTTCAACCAGTCAGTGTAGGAGGGCCACTCTAGGAGCCCTGAAGTAAAGTTGTTTTTTTGTTATTCTGAGTTCCAGATTTAAATAATCAGCCCCTTCCTGTAATAGCACCTGATGAGGTACTCTCTGGTGATATGGCAGGCACCCACCCACACTGGAATTTCTCTCTGGCTATTGCCTGCCTTGTGGAAGGAATACCCTTGGAACAAACCCTTTGCTGACTTTACAGTTCACAACAGCCATGTGCTCTGCCACTGTTTCTCCCTGGATCTCCCAGGCTTGGGTGCTTACCTTGCTTCTGGAGAACCAGGTTCCTCTCCTCACAAGCCATGAGTCAGGGATAGAATGCACATTGTTCCATTTTTTTTTTTTTTCCTCTGTGTTGTGGACCAGCTCTCCAACTTCTCTGTAGCTTCTAATTTTCCTGTCAGTTCCTTCCTGATTCCCAGCAATGTACTTCTAACTTTTCTCACTTCTCTTGTATTGTGTGTCTGGATTCTGGATCTTGCAGAGGGTGAATTTTGCTGCTGATTACCACTCTGTCATTTTCCTCTTCTCTGCCTTTTATTTTCTTAAAACATAATTATTTTAATCTTGAACATCTTTTAAAGTCTAAGTAAGATATTTCCTTATGTGGGAACTATATCGACAGTGTTAATTTTCTCTTATCTCAGTTTTGTTCATGTCATCTTGTCTCTTTGCGTACCTGGTTAGTTTTGGTTGTCAAATATTTTCTATCAGAAATTGTAGAAATATTTGAAGGTTTAGAGTATAAATTGTGTCTAAAGGATGAAATTCGCTTTTGGCAAGCAACTAGGGTAATAAGCACTGCAGGATCAGTTTAATTTCAGGTATTCAAGGGGAGCTTGGCTTATATTTAAGGTATAGCCCTTCAAGTGTCACCTTAAATCATGAATAATTTACGAGTCTCCTCTACCCCTTATCAGTGAGTACAATTTTTGTCTTTCTAACTTTATAAAACTATTAGAACACTGTTCTACTTCTCAGCCTCTAGCTGCAACTACCGGCTGCTTCCCAAATCAGCAGATGGTTTAGGGGAGAAGAAGCCAGAAATACTTGGATCCTCTTTCTGGATTTTCTTTCTTTCCCATTTCTTGACTCTTAAATTCGTATGATCTTACTAAAACCAACAATGCTTTTAAGAGATTTCAGAATATTTTATCTAGCTTTTGTAGTTGTTCTCAGTAGAAAGGTTGATTCAGTTGTCCACAACATCTAGTCTACCACGATGAAAATTAAAAGTCACTCCTATTTTTTCTGCTAACTTTATATTTCTGTTCACAGATCGAGGCAACGACAATTGGCTGATTAAATATGACTGTCCAATGGATAGTTCTACCTCTCGGGTAAGAGATTTCTGTGTTTCAAAGAAGAGGATAGAAGCCGGGCATGATGGTGCATGCCTGTAATCCCAGCACTAGGGAAGCTGAAGTAGGAGGATTGCTTCAAGTTCGAGACCACCATGAGCTATGTAATGAACTCATGGCTAGTCTGAACTACGTAGTGAGACCCTGTCTCAAAAACAAAACAAAACAAAGGTTAGAGAAGGATATCCTCATAATGAAGAATATACCTGTAATATGGAAACACACAAGTCAAGAATGGTGGCATGTCACTGTAATCCCCGCACTATTAGGCTGAGGCAGAAGGATTTTGTGTTTGAGCCCAGCTTGGGCAATTTAGTGACTTTGTGAGACTCTGACTCTGTCTCAAAATAAAAAGGTCTGGGGCCGGGGATTTAGCTCAGTAGTGCTGCGCCTGCCTTGCAAGCTCAGGTCCTGAGTTCGATCCCTAGTACCAGAAAAAAAAAGAACAAGCCACACACATAAATGATCACATAAGTTCAGATTTAGGTCACATAAGTTCAGAAGAATCAGGGAAGCACAGTGTTGAAAATTAATAGCTTAATGTTTGGTATAGTTTTTCTCAATGTGTGTTTTAAAGAACATCCTACTGACTGATATTAATAGGAGTAGCATGAAGAAAAGGTCACATAAGTTTGAAACATTTTATGTACTTTATTCCTTTGAGCTTCACATTGCACAGTAGCATAGTAAAAGTCTGAGAAATACTACATGAAAAGAACCTGTTTGGTTTCATTTGACCAGGTGATTTTAACCATGGAACACTGTTCACAATAGACCACAATTCACAGAATTTAAGTTTAGAGAAATCTTCTACAACTTTCTTACTGTCCCGTTCCTCTCCCACCACCCTTCTCTATCGCTGCTCTATCTGCATGTCTTTTAAAAGTAGCAGGAAGGCTATCTGGAGGAGAGTGAGGTTGGATTTTATTTTTATTTTGTGGTGCTGGGGATGGAATCCAGCATTTTGCACATGCTAGGTATGTACTCTACCACTGAGCTACACCTCTAGCCCCAGTGTTTATTTCTTATAGGGATTTTGCTTCCTTCTCTAACTCTGGCTGTCGGATTTTGTGCTCTTCATTGGAAGAACTATGCTCAGTGGTAGAGTGCTTACCCAGCACATGTGAAGCTCTGAGTTCAACCTTCAGCACCACCTTTATACATACATGTGCAGATTCTTCAGGCCTTTCCCATGAAAATTGATTCATCACTCAGGATTTTTTTTTTTTTTTTGGTACCAGGGATCAAACTCAGGACCTTGTGCTTGCCAGGCAGGTGTGGTGCCACTAAGTATATCCCCAGCTCAGGATTTTTTTTTTTCTTTGAGACAGGGTCTTGCTATGTAGCCCAGGCTGGCCTTGAACTTGTGGCAATCCTCCTGCCTCAGCCTCCTGAGTCCTAGGAATACAGGCGTGTGCCACCATGCCTGGCTTTATTTTATTTTATATTATTTGTTTAGAGTGTTTTGGAGACAGGATTTTGCTTTGTAGTTCAGGCTGGCCTTGAGCTCACTATGTAATCCAAGGTGGCCCCAAACTCATGTTGATCCCCCTTCCTCAGCCTCCTGAGTGCTGGGATTATAGGTGTGCACCACTATGCTGGCTAGGATCCCACATTTTTTATAAGGAATCCCAGGGGATTCTGGTACAGGTGTCTTAGAGCCTCAATCCTTGTTCTATGATGTCACCAGTGAACCCAAAGCATAGAGCCATGTATTGCTCATGAGTGTCCCTGATGTGGGCTGTCACAGGTGTCCTGCCTACTCTTTTCATTCAGCTCGTGTCTTTTTCCTCTTTATGAATCACTGATGCAGGAAAACAGACTGCTTTGTGCAAGAATAGTCAGCCAACTGTTATCTTCTGTGGTTTTGTTTTCTCACTGGAAAATGTGATCATTACCAGTGAGGTGGGGTCTGAGTCAAGATCCACACAAAAGGACCTTGGCCAACTAATATGGAGTTTTCTTTTCTTCTTTTCTGCTCTTAGGATTCTCATTGCCTTTCAGTAAGAGGAATGGCTTATAGTTATCTTTGTTTTTGTCATTATCCTTACCAATAACTGCTACATTCCAGGGAAGTGCTCCTTTTCCACAATAAAAAGGGGACTCTGAGAACCTTGAGTAAGCTAGGATAGAGGTGCCATAAGTGTGCCAGGTTCAGGTAACACAGAAATCAGTTCAGAGGGTAGCTCCAAATAAGTTGCAACAGGACTGTTATCTGAAGGGGATGAAATATGTTGCCTTGCTACTACTTTAAAGGCCCTGAGACCAATGGGCTCCCTCAGTAATTAGTCTCTCTTTGCTCTGCAGGACACAGACTGGGTGGTTGTGAAGGAGCCTGTTATCAAGGTGGCTGCCATAGACAATGGACTGGCGTTCCCACTGAAGCATCCCGACTCCTGGAGGGCATGTAAGTTTCAAGACCACTAGTCTGGCTCTACTCTTGCAAGCTGTCTTTTTTGGTACCAGGGATCGAACTCAGGACCTTGCAATTGTGAGGCAGGCGGCAAAACCACTGAGCTAAATCCCCAGCCATGATCTCTGTCTTGTCATTGTGAAATGGAGATGATAATATCTCCAACATAGCATTATTCTAAGAATTAATGAAATAGTGCTGCTCAGACTTTAACACAGTGACTAGCACATGGCAGTTCCATAATGTAAACTATTATTATAATTTTTTTCCCTGTATTATTTCTACTAGAGGCATATGAGTGATTAGAAATTAGAAGCATAGGAGGCTGGGGGTGTATCTCAGGGTCCAGCATGTGCAAGTTTCAATTCCAGCACTACAAAAACCAAACAGAGTGAAATTAGAAGCATAAAGAAGCCAGATATGGTGATCCGTGCCTGAAACCCCAGCACTCAGGAGGCTGAGGCAGGAGGATTGCTGTAAGTTTAAGGCCAGCCCGGGATACATAGTGAGTTCAAGGCCAGTCAGAACTACATAGTGAGGCCCTGTCTCAAAAAACCAAAAAGGGGAAGAAAAAAAAAAGAAGCATAAAAATGAGTTTTATCATCTCTACTCTTTATTCTTATTCTTTTTGAAATCTGTCTTTTCATGATTTGTTCTACTCAGATCTCCACAGATAAACTGCTATCAGTGCCCTGTCTTCCTTGTTGATATTCCCTGCCCACCCCATTATAACTGAGCAACTTTTGGAAAGGGAAAGAAATGTAAGTAGTGAGTCACAAGTTCCCTTTGCAGCACCAGTTTGCAATTTCAGAAGGACCATTTCAGTGTCTCAGTGGCAAGTAGTTGCTTCAGGATAAGCTTGCATCTTGGAAGGTCATGTAACATCTAGGAAAGAGCTGCCAGATGAGGTAAACATGGGTTTGAATACTGGTGCTTACTAGTCATGTAACTTTTATGGTTAACAATATTTGTTAGTTTTCTTTTCTGTTTATGTCAATGAGGAAGAGTCTCCTTTTGAAAGTGCCCTGCTAGGTAGAAGACACAAATGTGGAGGGACTTTTCCAACACATTTTGTTTTTGGCCTTTTCTCTTTTCAGATCCTTTCTACTGGGCCTGGTTGCCCCAGGCGAAAGTCCCATTCTCTCAGGAGATCAAAGATCTGATTCTTCCAAAGATATCAGACCCTAACTTTGTGAAGGACTTGGAAGAGGACCTGTATGAGCTATTCAAGGTTAGCCCTGGGTACCTCAACTGATTACTCTATAGAAGCCTATAGAAGCCATCCCTAGCTCTCCTGCCCCCAAATACTGAGGATTGAACCCAGGGCCTTTGCACTGAACTACATCCCCAGCCTTTTTTTGTTTTTTTATGTTGGTGCAGGGTCTCGCCAAGTTGCCCAGGTTGGGCTCGAACTTGGCAATCATCCCACATCAACCTCCCAAAGTGCTGGAAATACAGTCTTGCACCACCACACCTGGCTCCTAATGGTTCTACTTGGTCCTGACACAAGCCAGGAGGGAGTGACTAACATCTGATTTGAGTTAACCAGTGTAGAGCAAGGTTCTCACACATGACCAGCAGCACTTGGTTTGGATGACTTTGAAGGATGTGGGCAACTGCGATGGATCACACTGAGGTTTCATCATGTGGCTGCAGAGTGTCCACAGAGCTCAGAGTTTGAGTTGGAAAACAAAATACTTTCTTCTCTGTTTCCTCATCTGTAAAGGTGGGCTTTGTTAGGGTGCTAGTTGACTTCACCAAGCCCTATAAACCTTATATAGGTTTTCTTTATTACAAAATTTCTAACTAGGGGAGAAAATGGATTTCTGTGAGGTATTCATGCAGGTCTGATCTCTTACCTTTCTTTTTCAGAAAGATCCTGGCTTTGACAGGGGCCAGTTCCATAAGCAGATTGCTGTTATGCGGGGACAGGTAAGCCTGGGACATCTTCAGATGTCTTTTGGGGATCTCTCTGGGATGCTCATGCTGTCAGTGTGTAAAGCTTGAGTCTTACACCCTTTTTAGTCTGTGCCATACATGTTTTGAGTCTACCCTAACAGATGGGAGAAGAAAGACAGCCCTTCTCAATCTCCCACTTCTTCCATGGAATCAAGTGGTTGGTGAAGCACTTAGTGTGTGCTTGTCTCTGTCCCAGGTGGTGGATAAGTTGTGGGTAAATAAACACAGTGCTCTCTCTTCTTAAGTTGCTCAAGGCAAGCTGTATAGGTTGGTGGTTAAGAACTGGTCTCTGGAGTCAGACCATCTTACCACTTAGAAACTCTGTGGCCTTGGGAAGAAGCCTCTGTTTCCTGAAGTAAGTTAGTAATGATGTTGCCCCATAAGGTTCAGTTAGTTGCTGCATGATGGAGTTGAATGAAGAGGTGGAGTGATGGAGAAAGAAAGAGCTTTATTAAAGACCAGCTAGCATATTGGAAGATGGTAGGCTCTTGCCTTTCAACAACTGTCGTACCTTTTGCTCTGAGGGAGAATTTTATGTGATTTTTTTTAAGGGAAGGTATGTGTGTCTGAGACAGGTGGGCACCTCCAGTGTTTCAGAAAGTGGCCTCTTCTGGAGTGTGGGCTGTGTATATCTTAATTCATTCACATAGGTCAGCAAGAGTTGCAGTCCAGTAGATCTAAAGAAAACATAAATGATCTAGGTTTCTGTGTGTGATTTTTTTTTTTTTTTGTGGGTGTTTCTGTCAAGCACCCCTCCAGGTATGACCTCCCATAACTGGGGACTGGGGAGTACTTTGGAAAGGAAAGTTTGTGCATTCCTAGGTAACTTTAGCATACAGTTGATCTATAAATAATAGGCTTCAGTGGGCAACTAATACTTAAGAGGTAGAGCGGGCAGGAGCAAAGAGAAACTTCAGAGAATTGGGTCTCAGTGGAGGGACTTTCAGTAATACTTTGCACAGTTGATGGGAGGATTACAGTGTTAAGTAAATGTAATGCCTGGTATGTGGTAAATACTCAGACATTGACGATGGTTATAATTTTGTTGTGAGTTACAAATTATACTTTCTTTCTCTGTATCACCTTCAAAGGGAGTCACAGAAACCCAGGATATTTTCTGTCTTCCAAAGCATAGTAAAGAACATGCTTGGAGAATGGCTCAAAAGCTGTATAGGCCACTGGCATTGTACTTACCATTTGAAGTCTTCCTACAGACAGCTGCATGGCTTTTCAGGTCAGGGCACAAACTGGTTAGAGTGCCCGAGTTTGAAGCCTGGCTCTGCCATTTTCTGCCTGTAGGGTCTTGGGTAAATTACTTAGTCTTTCCTTCTCTTTCTCCATTTGTATTATCAGATTAATAACAGTACCTGCTTCATAGGTTTATTATGAGATAACTTATTCAAAACAGAAAAGTACCTACTGTATCAAAGTACGAAATCAATATGTGTTGGTTATTAAGACTGATTTCACGTACAGAAAAGTCAACTTCTCACATCTTTAAAAAATAAGTCTTCCTAGCCACAATTACACATTTACTTCTTTCTACCAGGAAGGAGGAGCTAGAGGCTCTCCTGCTGAGAGCACCTCTTGGCTTGCCCCAGTCATTTTCCCTGGAAATAGGGCAGTTAGAAGTGTTTTGTTCTGTTTTGTTTTCAGGGAAGATCTCTTTGAGATTTAGGCTGGTCTTGAACTCACTATGTAGCCTACACTGGCCTCAGACTCACAATGATCCTCTTGCCTCAGCATCCTGAGGGTTAGGATTACAGGTGTGGTGCCACCATATCTGGCAATCGGAGGTTTTAAGAGCTGCTATAATTACAGCTGCCTGAATACCAGTAACATGGTCTTCTTCCCTTTCCCAAGTAAAGTATGGACCCAGTTAGGTTGGCAGAATTTTTGGAAACCTTACAAGGTGCATGACATAGTCTGGTATTATAGAATTCAGTATAAAGGAGTAAACTTGCATCTCAGCTTTTTAACCATCTTCTCCAGTCTCAACTCAGTCCCTTGCCAACACCTTAGCAGCCTTCCTCTTATACCCTGATGGGTATCCTCTTATATCTCCTCTTATACCCTGAAAGGTGTAAGGGAGGTTGGGAGTAGTGCAGTTTTATCTTTCTTTCCACCTTGGGTTCGTAATGTCTTCAGAGGGCCTTTTGGCATCTTCTAATTGTCAGTCAAAGATCCATCAGCGTATAACATAAGCAAAGGAAACACTTAATTTGAAAATCGAAATTGCAGTTGGAGAACACAACCAAGGACAGACCTAAGGTGTGTTCTGGAAAGGCATAAGGGGAGGAAAACCTTTAAGGAATCAAGCTGAAAGGTAATCTGATATTGCATCGTTGTGTGGGGGGGTATCATTTCCTTTGAAACCTTTTTGATTGGTTGATGGGGGCTGCAGGGGAAAGATTGCAGAGTGGGGTTGTTCATAGCCATGATGGTAGGTGGCCTCTTGGAGAATCTGGGAGTTTACCTAGTCATGCACATTTTAGCCTGTTCCCCTTTCAAAATGACAGGGGCTGGGTGTGTAGCTCAGTGGTAAATCTTGTGTTGAGTCCGCACAAAGTTCTGGGTTCATTCTCTACCACCACATTTAAAAAAAAAAAGTCAGACATGAAGTGGAACCTGTTTGGTTTTAAGCAAGTTCCACATACCTGGAGTGCCTGCTTCCTAATATTTTATGGTTCCATAAGCATCGATTTCTTCCCAGTATGCAACTTAGCATTCACATATTTACCATATCTACTGTTCATACCCCAAAGCAAAGTGACCCTTTGTCCTGAAAAAAATCTGACATAGAACAGGAAAGAAGCTGTCTGCTTAGCTGAGTCAGTAGCCTCTCTTTGCAGTCCCAGCATTCTGGGAGGGTGAGGCAGGAGAATTGGAAGTTTGAACCCAGCCTGGACAACTTTGTGACTTAAAACTTGTCTCCAAAAAAAAAAAAATTTTTTTTTTTCTTTTAAATAGGGCTGGGGATGTAGCTCAGTGCCAAGGCCCTGGATTCAATCCCTAGTACGTGGGTCGGGGGGATCCAAATAAAAAATTTTATTGAGGCCAGCCACAGTGTGGAGGCTGAGACAGTAGGATCAGAAATTGGAAACCAGCCTGGGCAACTTTGTGTAGGACCCTGTATCCAAAAAAAAAAAAATTCTTGGGCTTGGGTATAGATCAGTGATAGAGCACTCGGTTAGTATGCATCAAGGCCCTGCATTCAGTCCCCAGGAGTAGCACATGCCAAAAACTTTTTTATTGAAAAAAAATTGATGAGATAGCATTTAGAGAGCTAATTCAACTGAAATGTTGGCTTTTTAAAAAATACATCATTTGGGCTGGGGATTTAGCTCAGTGGTGGAGTATTTGCCTAGCACATGTGAGGCCCTGGGTTTTTTTAATCCCAGCACCACAAAAAAATCATCTTTGTAGGACAATTAGAAAATAAGGATAGATAACTATAGACAGTTAAAATCACTTGTAATTCCTAGAGACTCAGATTTGATCATTGCCAACTTTTGGCTTTTTTTTTTCTCTAAGCAGATAGATAGGAAGGTAAAATTGTAGAAATAAAGGTGGGGGTGGTCACAATCTAATTCTGGTTCCATTTCTCCTTTCCTTTCCAGCTAACAACAATATTGTGATCAACTTTCTGTGCCAGTACATTTGTTTCTATATATTTTAATTTCTTTTTCCTTTCTTTTTTGTTTTTTATCTCTTAAATTAACTAGTTTACATCATTTTCACTGTTAGAAATAATACTGTATTGTATTTTTTTTATTTTTTTTTGGTACCAGGGATCGAACTCGGGTCCTTGCACTTGTGCAGCAGGCGGCGAAACCACTGAGCTAAATCCCCGGCTGTATTGTATTTTAAAAAATTAAATATTTTATGCATATCCATGATTATTTCCCTATTCCTTGAAAATGGAATTGCTGAGTCAGAGTCTGTTCATTTTTAAGCTTTACGGCCAGGTTCCCTGTCTGAAAGATGTCCCACATTCTAGCCCCATAGCCAAGGAGAAGAGTGCCTATTTCTTTGAGCTCTCTTGACCTCTGAGTGGTTGTCTTTATCTTTACTAACTAGAAGGGCAAAAAATTCGGAGACCTTTCCCCTCCTCCTTCCTCTCCCCTTCTCCTTCCCTTTCCTTATCTTCCTACCCCTTTCCTTCCTTCCTCTTTTTTTTTTTTTTTTTTTGAGACAAAGTCTCTCTGTGTAGTTCAGGCTGGGCTTGAACTCATGATCCTCCTGCCTCAGCCTCCCAAGTGCTGGGATTACAGGCATGTGCCACCACGCCTGGCCTCTCTTCTTTTCTTTCTTTCTTCCTTTTTTTTTTTGAACACTGGAGATTGAATCCAGGGCCATCACACTAAAACTACACTCACGACCCTTTTTTAAAATTTTGAGACAGGCTCTTGCTAAATTGACCACATTGGGGTTGAACTTGTGATCTTCCTGCCTCAGCCTCTCAGAGTGATAGAATTATAGATGTGTGTCGCCACACCCAGCTTTTCTTTTTTTGAGATGAGGACTTGCCATGTTGGCCAGGCTGGTCTGGCCTGAAACACTTGGGCTCAAGCTATCCTTTTTCCTCTGCCTCCTGAGTAGCTGGGACTATGGACATGTACCACTGTGCCTAGCTTCATTTGTATTTTTAAAATGACTAGAGAGATTTCCATTTTCTGTTTAGTGCCAATTTGTATTTCTACTGTTAAATACCTACTTGTCTGATTTCCCATTGGTGTGTTTATTTTTTGTTGGTTTGTAGGAGGACTCTACCTGCTGGCCTCTCTGCAGAGGCAGACTTGGAGCGCCCATGCCTTTCCCTCACCCATCTCCTTTTTCCCACTGCAGATCCTAAATCTGACACAAGCGCTGAAAGACAACAAGAGTCCCCTGCACCTCGTCCAGATGCCGCCTGTGATTGTTGAGACAGCCCGTTCCCACCAGCGGTCTGCTAGCGAGTCCTATACACAGAGCTTTCAGAGTCGGAAGCCCTTCTTTTCATGGTGGTAGCCCTTGAGGCAGGTGAAGGAAAGCCTGTGTGAGGTGCATACAGGCAGCCAGGCGCAGGGAAGCCAGAGAAGCCGGTGGAGAGCAGTGCCTTTGCCAGCCCTGGAGCCCTCCCTCTCTGCTCGCCACCTCCTTCAGGGCTTTCCCGCCCACAGGGAGAAGAAGCACAACCAGGGACTGGGAGTGCTCCTGGGCCCTGCCAAGTGCTGGGGACGCTACAGTTACAGATAAGGAGTCCAGGTGGTTAAGGAGGAGCAGCTCCCTTCCGACATCTCTTGATGGCAGACTGGGAAAGTCCCTCCTTCCCTGACGCCCTACTCCATTGCAATTCCCTGTTATATTCTGCATCAGAAGAAAAAAGCCACACATTTAAATGCTTGTAGCAGAATCCAGTTCCTCTCATATCAGAAACCTTTAATCCAGACTTAAATTTGCATAGACCCAGACATTTGGGTGCCTGGTAGTTGCTTACTTCCAGGATCAGAGATGTGTCAGGGGACCACTGGGTGGCTCACTATGCTGGGACAGGCAGAAACCATACTTCGAGTTTTTGCCAAATCTTCCCCTGCTCTTCCCATCAGTGTGGTAGTTGGCTTCTCTTGGCAGGTAGCTTTTGCTCTGCATCCTCTTGAACCTACATCTGCAGTAGTTTACCTGTCACTCAAGCATAGGTGGGAGTTATTCAGTTCTGTTATTTTTTTTTTCCATGATACTGGGGCTCAAAACTCTCGAAACCAGGGGTGCTCTATACTGAGCTATATCCCCAGCCCTTTTTATTTTTTGAGATAGGGTCTCACTGAGTTGCAAGTTGAACCTGCAGTGCTCCTGCCTCAGCTTCCCTTAGTTCTGCGATTATAGGCTTGCACCACTGTGTCCTGCTGTTTTTGGTTTTTTTGGGTTTTTTTTTGGTTGTTGTTTTTGTTTGAGACAGGGTCCTGCTCTGTAATTCAGGCTGGCCTGGAACTCACAGCAGTCCTCCAACCTCAGTCTCCCAAGTGCTGGGATTATAGGCATGCGCCACCATGCCTGGATCCTGTTCTAATAGGTAGTTAACACCAGCATGTGAAGGTGATCCACATGGCCTAGTGCATGCTGGGAGCTGTAAGTAATCTCTGGGGGAATTTATCCCAGCCTTGCTTCTTGAGTCCTAAGCCACTGTTCTCTAATTTGTTTATTGTTCTAAATATTTTTTCCCAGCTTTTTTTTTTACTTAGAAGTTCAGTTTAGGTTTTAGAATAGGTCTCTGAGGAGTGTGAGTAGTCTCAGCTCCTTAGAGGACATGATATATGGCCCTTGGACTTCTTTATGTGCTACCACTGCTGCTTCTGGAAGCAACAGGACTTATATTCTGCCTATTCCTATGCTCCCTGGCTTCTTGCCCTGGGCTGGTTTTTCCATGGCTTCTTGAGAAGGCAAGGCCCAAAGGAGAAAGGCCTTCATACTGTCCTCCAGTGCCTGCCCAGCTCAATGTACATCTTCTTGCTTACCCACCTGTCCCCCTTGCCAGGTGTTCAAGCCTTTTCTACACCAAAGCAAAGAATGGCCTCAGGAGGGAGTAAAAAGGGTGCCACCTGGGGCTGAGGGGCAGCTGTATTCTTGTGCTGTGGACACTTTGGAGTTTTCTGGCCCCCTGTGATTCGTCAATCAGCCTTGAAAAGAAACTGTTTTGAAAGTTAGAAAAACAACCAAAGAAAGGGAGTAAGGACTGTGGCTGTGTGTCCTCTGCCTACCTGGCTTCCTCTATTCAGGAGGCAGAGCAGAGGCCTACAGCCCTCCCAGCACCTGGGCGGGGCCACTCCCCAGCCATTCCAGCTCCCAGGAGCTAGCTTGTCCTGGGCTTCCACCCAGCTGACAGTAAGTCTCTGAGCACTAGGTATGCTTGCCTGTGGACAAAGTCACTGCTCCTCTGTGTGCCCTGCCCTGACAATCCCATCTAGCCTGCCTGGATTCTGGCTTGGGGAACCATATGTGAGAGAATTTGCCTTCTGAATGCAGGAGCCGGTAGGTTGCCCAGGTGTGTGTCGCTCCCCACAGACAGGTTTGTGTGAACCTGTTGGCAAGGCCCCCTGCCTGAAGAGGCGCTTGGTGTTTCACCAGCCACATCTGCACTGTCCTGCTCCAGATCAGCTGTGTAAGAGGGAGCCCGTCCCGGGCCTGGTGAGCAAGGGTATGGGGCATCCTTTCCTGGCCTGTCTTCTCTCTCCCTTGAAGCCTGTACTCAGGTTGCCTTGAATGTGGATTTTAGAGGAGGCAAGGACCCCATGTGCCAGGGCAAGCTTCTGGTGGTACTCCCAGAACAGCCCATCATTCTGGCAGCCATAGGCCTGTCCCCCCTCATCAGGGAGGGGAAGCTGGGCTGTGAGTGCTGCTGCCCCATATTGTTCTTCTAATGCACTGTAGAAACTGTATGTAATGTATTTAAATCAATGCAAATGTATGAATAATAAATCCAATTCTGACCTTTTTGTCCAGCTCTTTTTGTAGGAAGGAACACAAAGAAGGTAGAATGCAGTTTTAAGGACAAAGAAACCTATTTTCATGGAGTTGCAGAGACATGGATCCTGAGGCCACTTACCCTAGTAGAGGAAAACTCAGGTCCTCTTTCCCAAGTCCCAGTCCTCTGAAAACTAAGTGTTTTCACAGTTCATTTCAAAATCTGACCTGAGCTTATACTGATGTGACACTGTTGTTACTCATATGCATCCCCTGAGTGTGACTATTTATGGAAGAAATGCTAATCCTTCATGAGACTTTCTCCTACTAGGGACTCTGTAGTATTTGCCCTGACTGCTTCCTAAAAGCCAAAAACAATTCTGTATTCCAAAATCATTTTATCCCCAAGGGTTTAGGATAAGATGTCAATGTACCCTTGGGTAGGAGTGGCTTTTCTTCTTGGCCACCAGAGGGCAGCTATGCCCTGTGTATCACTGGCCCACTGAACCTTGGCTTATTTTGAGTGGTGCTGGAGCAGTTACGCAGGTAGGAGGAATGGGAAGAGGAGAGGAATTGTGACAAGCACATAGTATGTTTCTTTTGAGGTGAAGCTAAAACTTGGAAAAAAACCTTTACCTCAATGTTTCCAGGCCATGGGGAACCTAGGATAGCACAAATATTTAAGAATGATTGGTCCAACTCTTGCCCTACCTTGGGATGGTGTACATATAAGGATGAAGAAGCCCCCTAAGTGTTGGTGCTCACTACTTAAGACTACAGATTCAACCAAGGACCCATTGCCTATTGTGTGGGGCTGACCACAACAGCTTCCCCCTTCCCTCTTCCTGACCCAGCAGCCTCTGCAGGAGGCTGCAGCACAGGGCCTCCAGGACATGGGGATGAGGAACGAGAAGAGTCCAGCCCTGATTTCTCCTTCCTAGGGAACTATTCTCTTCTGCCTCCAGTCTCTATTTGGATTCTCCCCTTCTGTGACAGATTCACAGGGTTTGTGATGCAAATGTTTTTATTTGCCAATTAAAACTGTGGTTTCTTTGTGCCAGCCTGATGGCATGGGAGTGGGACAGGCTGCTGGATTGTGAGTGACGGTAGTAGCCAGTGGATTGGTTAGTGACAGAAGTGGTGAATGCTACGTCTGAGTGCCTGTCACTTGACTCCCAGGGAAATATCATGCAGCCCATATAGTGTTAGGTCAAGAAGGTCTGAGACAGCAGTTGCTTTCTCCTCACTGTGGTGACAGTCTGACATGTAGTGCATAGCCCAGTGGATAGTGCAGTCCGGTTCTCAGTTGAGCAGGCAGTGGCCTCTTCCTTTTGTTCACCTGTGTAGGGCTGCCTGCCTCCAGTCTCCCCTCTTTACCTCCCCAGGCCCTTTTGCAAAAGTCCCATGACTCCTAGGGAAGATCCTGCCATTCTTGGCCTCTTCCCTGGATCAGTGTCTGATCTGGTGAAGGTAGCCTGTGGGGCTAGGCTTTCTCCAGCTCCGCCTGGTCCTGGCACTTGTCCTCCTGGAGTTCTGCTGTTGCTCGCTGGAGGTTGTCTCTGTAGCATTGCTCTGTGGATTGGCAGGTGGAGAGCAAGGCTCTGGGATTCTCCTGGGAACAAGTGTATGACAAGCCAACATCAACAGGGAGAACAGGATGGATTCTTATCATGGTAGACTATAAAACACCCCTCGGGGCAAAATGAGACCAGGGCTTGTCTTTGTGTGACTAGGCAAAGCTTTCTGGTATCTGAACTGTAAGGAGGGCTGGATAGATCAGGGGATGTGACACTCAGCGTGTCTTCACCTTCTTCATCTTGTATTCATGGCAGATGCCATTAGTCACAGTCATGTATGATACTGGTGTTCTAAGCAGAAACTACTAATCAACTAGAGTTAATACAAGCAGTGAAACAGATTTACCATCCCAGAGCTGATGACCTGTTCAGGTTGATGGGCCCCAGAGAAGGCAGTGGAGAAATGGAGGCCAGAGAGTAACCTGTGGAGAAGGGTTTACTAGTTCAGCTGGGTCCCTGGGCCTCGTTGGGCAGTGATCTAGGCAAAGTTGGATGATTTAGGGAGACTGGGCAGAGATGCTCTCTAAAGGTAAAGTTGCTATAACTTGTAACCCAGGATGCCTCTGCAGTACATTCCTATGTCATATTCTCTGTATTTCCATAGCTAAGACTAACCGGGCTTGCTTTTGAATGTTACCCACTTTACAGGTAAACAGAATTATTTTTTTTCTTGCATACAGTACTCCCATCTGGTCAAAAGTCACTGCAAAACAAGAAGGTGCTGCTGGGACTGAGGCACCTCTTTCCATTGAAGTTTACAGGATCATATGATCCCAACAGTAATAACAGTCTTAAGTGCCAAATAAGTGGTGGCCCTGTGTGGACTTTATACCACCTCAACAGGAGGCAATTTACAATAAGCCCAAGTATCCGGCTCCAGGTCACACAGCCAGGAAGTGGCAGAGTAGCCACACTAGTGTTCCTTTCACTCAGCCCCCTTGTCACAGGCACCTACCTGAGGCGGCTGCAGTGATGCAGTGATGGGACAAGGGGCCTCTGCCTTGGGGGCCTTTTCCTGCGCAGCCTCCTTAGGGCTTCTGCCACGTGATGGTCCCCTGCACACTCCCAGATGATCTGGGCCCGCTCCTCGGCCAGCTGGTCCCCACTGCGCTGAAATAGGCCCTGGATCTGCAACAGCTCGGCGTCCTGGAAGATGTTGGCTGAGGCCTGCTTTCGGCTCCGGGCCTCATTTGGAACCTGCCACAGGGGTGGCTCACTCACCACAGAGGCTGGGGTGCCCATTGTAGTCTTCTAAAGACAGAAACCATGGAGATATGAGCACTGAACAAGCCCTTCCCAAAGCTAGGGTTTCTGACAAACAGTTTCTGGTGTGTCTAGTTTCCAGGGTTCAAACTAGAAATAAGTGTTTATTTTAAAATGACTCTAATTTCCCAAGGCACCTTGGAGAAATGAAATTATTACAACAAAACTTCATTAAGTGCTTTTTATGGGTTGGCTCTAAAATGTCCCCTAAAAGTTTTGTGTTTGGAAGGTGAGTGGATCGTGGCACTATACTCATCAGTAGATTCATCCATTGATGAGTTCAGAAGCTGAATGTGCTGTTAGGAGGTAGGGTCTGGTCAGAGGATGCTTGCTGATCAATGGGGGCATGCCTTTAGAGAGTGTACAGTATCTCCCTATCTCCTCCTCTCTCTGTTTCTTGGATGCTAGGGCATGAGTACCCTTCCTCCACTATGCCCTCTGCCATGCCATTTTTGCCTTGGATCCAGCTGACCATGGACTACATCCACTAAAAACTGAGTCAAAATAAACCTCTCCTCCTTTGAGTGTTGGGTATTTTGTTCCAGCATCAGGAAAACTGACTAATACAAGGCTTATTTGTCAGACATCAGTATTATCTCATTTGGTTCACAGCAACTGGTAAGAATTATTGTTCTTCCCCATTTTACAGATGAAGTACAACTCAGAAAGGTTAAATGACTTGCCATGGTCATAAAGCCGAGTGTAAGCACTTGCTGGCAGGAGTACTTAGAAAGTGCTCTAGAGTTCATGCAGATACTGTACCAGGAAGCCCAGTAACAGCTCAAATTCTTTATTCAGATAATAGCCAGGAAGTATCATAAGCACAACAGCCCTTTGAGGGGTATTTTTACCCTCCAGTCTGCCACCCATGGTTGTACAACTGAACTAGAATCAGACACCTGATTTGAAGACCTGGGCTCTTCACACAGAAGTAAGAGTAGGGTATGGAGTTGGCTGCCCTGGGTTGGAAACCCACTTCTACCACTTGCTGGCTGAGTGCCAGTACCCACTTCATAGGGGTGATGTAAAGAGAGTGTTTAGAACAGCATTACAGCTTGTTATTTAGATGTTCCCCCAAAGCCTCATGTGCTCATAGGTGGGGCTTTTTGGAGATGGCTGGATCTAGGGTGCGTGATGCTAGGATTAAGGGTGTGTGATTACTAAATTGGTTCTTGGTGTAGATAAAGGAAGCCCACCCTGAGTGTGGGTAGCACCAATCAATAGACTTGGAGCCTGGATGGACTATAAAGAGACAAAGAAGGGAGGTTCACTGTGTTACTTGGTGCTTTGTTTGTCTTCTGCCTGCCACACCATGAACTGTTTCTCTTCTGTGATGTCCTTCTGCCATGCCACCCTGCCTTCAAGCCAGATGCCTATGGACTTAAACCTCTACAAACTGTTAGCTAAATAAAACTTTCCTTCTTTAACTTGTGGATGTCAGGTATTTTGTCTCGGTAACAGGAAAAGTAAGACAAACAGTGCTCAGTGTTTTGTTTTTTTTGTTCTGGGGATTGAACTTGGGACCTTCTGCTTTCGAGGCAGGCATTGGAACCAGAGCTAAGTACCTGGCCCAGTGCTCAGTGTTTTACCACAGGCTGTTCCAGTAATTCCTCATCCAAAATGTTTGGGATTTTGAATTTTTCAGATTTGGGAATATTTGTATACATATAATGAGATATCTTGGGGATGGGACCCTAGTCTAAACATAGCATTATGTTTTATATATACCTTATACACACAGCCTGATGGTAACTTTGGGCAGTTATTTTCATTTCAGCCTCATGGTGTAAAAATTTTCACTTGGTTTATGTCAGCATTCAAAAAGTTTCAGTTTTGGAGCATTTCAGGTTTTCTGATTAGGGATGTTCAAGCTGTGTTCTGCTCCTCTATAAAACTGAGAAGAGTCCTCCTACCTCCTATCTTCAGGACCTTAGGGATAAATCAAATCCACCTAATTTAGCAAACAGTGTGAAACAGACCAATCAAATCTAACCATAGTTCAGTGGACTAGGGCAGGGGGTCCAGATCCCACTGAGGGGCAGAAGAGGAGGCTACAAAGTTCAGAATGTACTATCGAGGACAGAGGTTGCTGTGGGAAAGTCCAGTAGAAGGCTCTTGTGTCAATGTCTCTTGTCATTCTAAGAGATGGAAATCATCTCCCTTGATTCTGGATATTTTAATTTGAATACTAAAGGCATAAGAAACTCCCTACCTTATCCTTGTCTCCAGAAGCTACAGGTTTGGAAAAAAGCCTGGAAACTGGGAAGACCAAGGACTTTGGCATTATACAAAACAGGTTGAATCCCAGCTCTGCTACCTTCCTAGCTTTGTGACCTTAGGTAAGTTACCCAATCTCTCTGAACCTATTTCCTTAATGTAAAATAGGGATACTGTAATAATATCCACTCCTCAGGATTATAGTATGAATTAAAACAGCCTAGTGTGGTATCAGGCACCCAATAAGAGCTGAACAAATGCACATGCCCCTCTTTTTTGGCCTCCCTGACCTTTGTACTTGGGTCAGGGATGTGACATAGACTCCATTTCCTGCAAGCAGTGGGGCTGGAACCAGCTGAAGACAGCTTATGCTCCTGCCTCCCTCACCTCCTAGCCCAAGCCCTAAGGGGAGGGAGAGGTAGGTCCTGGTTTTCTCCAGGGCCTCAGTCAGCCCTCCTTCCACCCAGAGATAGACACAAAAGGGGGCAAAGTAAAGTTAAAATATTCAAATGAGCACATTTTACACACTCACTGTAAAAGAGGCAATCGGCACAGAATTGTGTAAATAAAAGTATTTCCAGTTTCCTTTCTGCAACCCGCTTAAAAAAGCAACCTTTACCCTTGCCTGCCTTTTGTTCTGTTTTCTAGAGGATGAATCATCTCTCCAACCGATTCAAACTCCCAGATCTATTACTCCCTCCCTTGTCCCTGTGCCTCACTTCAAAAACCACCCTTATTATTCCAGTAATTTCCACATTCATCCTGTCCCAGTTTGTAGCAGAAGAGTACCACTCTTATCTCATCAGGTGTGGTGGAACATGCCTGTAATCCCAGATTCAAGGTGGCCGAGGCAAGAGGTTTGAAAAGTTTGAGCCCAATTTGGGCTACTTAGTGAGACCTTGTCTCAAAATATAAAATTTAACAAGGGTTCAGAATATTGCTCAGTGCAAAGGCCCTGGGTTCAGTCCCTAGCACTGAAAGAAAAAAAAACTTTTCAAAAGATTTAATAATTTAAATTTGTGAGAGACAATACAGATAAATTAATGTCATAAAAATTTAACATTTTAACTGGGAAAAATGGGAATTGTAAAACTTTCCTCTCTTAGGTACTACCGTGGGAATGGAGTTAAAATCTAGTATGGGTGGTAATTAAGCCCCCAAAGCTGATGGTGTAAACATGCTGTGATCAGAAGATAATAGTGACTAAGGCTGATAAAGAGAAGAAAAGCTAAGTATAGTGTGCTGCTTCTGTATCAGGCCATGTGTATGGTATCATTTTAGCCTCAGAACAATCCTAGGAATTAGGAACTATTATCCTTGTTCCATTGAGTGGAGGTGCAAAAGGAAGAGATGCAGATATGAGGACCAGTGGCTGAGCAGTGGGATGCTGTTCTGTGTGCCTAATATCTAAACTTCTGCACTGTCTTCACAACCAAGAAGCTGGAGCACATTTCTTCATATTTCCCCCAAAGAGTGCTTCACTATTCCTACCTAATTCACCAAGGAGAAACTCTGCCAGTAGAAAGGAAAGGACAATGAGTTATCTCACAGGGAAGAGTAATGGAATTTGTCTATTCACTAGCATCAAGGCTGTTGACTGGGTGACCGTTCCCCCTGTCTTGAACCAGCAGCACTCTTTAGAGGAAAACCCCCACCTTCCCCAAAAGAAATCTAGAACTGCACCCCAGCCCAGCGCAGAGCAGTGACTTGAGTCAGAAGCTTGACTTCCTCCCCTGGTTCTGCCACTCCCTGGATGAGAGGCCTCGGGCAATTCACATCACCTCAGTGGACTGACTGGTTTCCCCCTTATTGCTCCAAGAACAGGTTAATGTTGACAGCCTCTGAGGACTTGCACTGGTGTTGAAAGTCAGTGATTCCATGACAAGGCTGGGTCTGTCGGAGGATGATGCCATTTGTCTACCTGGGCCTAGGAACAGTGAGGGGGGACAGGTCTGGCTAGTTAAGTGCTAGGAAACTCCCAACCAGTAGCCACTGTTCTCCTTCCTCCTCCGTCTCCCCTAGAGGCCAGGCACTGTTTTGCTACAGTGAGCTGAGGGGTCAGGATCTAGTAGATGTCAGAGAACTCTTCTCTAAAGCACCCTATTGATCCAGCTCAGGATAGACTCCTAGGCTGGTCTGGCGGCAGGAAAATTGATGATGTCCCTCCTCTCAGACTCAAACAGCCCCACCCCTCGGAAAGAATGGCAACAAGGATAAGGCAGAAGCTGTTTTGAGGGAACAAATGGTTTGGCTTGGGGCTGACTTTCCAGGTAGTCCCAGCAACCTCTGTCAGGGCTACAAGGCCTTGACTGGACAGTTTACAGCCAAATGATTTATAAAGTAATAACAAGAAACTACCTAGGCTCGGTATGGCCTCCCATCTACTCAGGAGGCTGAGGAGGATCACAAGTTCAAGGTCAGCCTTCAGCAACATAGTGAGACCTTATCTCAAAATAAAACAAAGTGGGCTGGGGAAATAGCTCAGTGGTAGAGTGCTTGACTAGTATGCATGAGGGCCTGGGTTCAAATTCCCAGTACTGGGGGTGGGGGTGGGGAATCTGTAAGAATCTGAGCTTCCAGCTTCAATCAAACCCTCCCTCTGTGAACATTTGCTAGGGCTTGGCACCTCCAGATTTCAAAGCCCCTCACTCTGGACTCTATATTCCACCCTGGGATTGTGAGGTTGAAAATAAAAATAGGTGGATTACAGGTAGGAGTAGATGGTAAACTTTGGGAAAACTAAAGTAATGAATCAGAATATTTTTATTGTCAAAAGAAACATTTCCTGTATAATTTAGTGTGTTCAATAGTTACTTCCCCATCCTCCAATTTCCTGGTTCAGACCTTGATCCAGGAAGGTCAGTTTATACTTGGCAACAATAGAAGATGTAAAACAGGAATCATTACAACCATTCAGAGTTGACATAAAAGGAGGTAAGTGTGGGTCTGTACACAGATGAGTAAAGACTAGTTGGAAAATACTGAAGTATGACACAAACTAGGTTAAAAATGAACCCTCATAGTAAATATCAAATGTTGGAAATGACAAAGTTCAATTTGCTTTGAATCAGGCAACAAGTGAAGAACTGTAGGACACTCACAAAGAAGTATGTTTAAAAAGTGACTCAATCAGCAATGAATTTGCAATATATAAATATGGTGCACAATTGAGCATTCTTTGTAATATATGAAGTTAATTGTGACAGCCATTCTAGGTAATATCTCACTGGAATCTCAGAGATGCAAGACGCAGAGCACACTTGGGTCAGCTGGGCAACTCCTGGTTCCTACTCAGTGTGTCCCCTTTGAGTAATCCCAGTGATGGCAATAATCTCTGTAATCAGAAGCCAAGGGCCTCTTAGAAAAATAACTGGAGGCTCTGGCCCAAGGCCCAGATCAACAGTTGTGGCCTGGCCTGCTACTCTGCACGGACATGCCACTGGACTGCAGCCAAAATCTGTTGCTTCTCAATTGAGAGCCCAGTCCAAGTGGCTAGGTGGGCTCTAGATGCCACTGGGTCTCAAAATCTGTATTCCAGGAGGTAGGAAAAAATCGGATCCTTTCCTCAGACCAATTCTCAGACATGACCTGGAAGTAAATTACTAGGTGTAGGAATTACTTTTTTCAGTAGTTCAAGAACCTTGAATTCTGAAAGCACCTCTGCTAACTGGGTGATTTTAAACAAATTTTGGTTTTCTCCTGCCTCTGTTTGCTCATCATCAAAATGAGAAAAAAAAATACTAACTGGAATAAGGAAGATGAAGTATGTTAAGAGCATTCATCCTAGTACCTGGAATATAACAGACATTCTATATATTGTATTTTGGATAAATGAATGATATAAGCGGAAGGCTGTTAGCTAAGAGGACTATAGAATTATGGTCATTTTCATCATCACTCCCATCAGCAAATTCTGAGAGGAGCCTTCACTCTTGGGAAAAGAAGGTAAAGGGAGACATTCGTCAGTACACATTTAAATCATAGCTTTATGATTAAACTCAGAAATGGTCCGCTGTGTCAAGCATAGAAAGTGAAAGTACTTTCAGAGGGGCATTTTAATCCTCACATGAGGTAGCAGTATCATTACATCTCTCCTATGAGAGGACCACTTTACAGACAAGAAAGCTGAGCTCATAAAGGTTAAGTAACTTCCCCAAAGTCACACAGCAGGTAGGTGATGAAGCTGGAATATGAACCCAGGGGATCTGACTTCAGTGTGCACGCTCTCAACCACTGCTTTTTTGTTCCTGCCAAATGGCTAAGGAGTTCTTCAGGGTAAAGAAGGCCCCAGAAGGTTCTGAAACCTCTCAGAACCCTCTTATCTGCTTCTGCGGATTTTGGAAATTGCAGGGATCCAAAGTCAGGCCTCGCAAGCCCGGTTCCGTACCCCCCCCCCCCCCCGCACCGCACTCCCCCGCCCCGGGGGCAGAGGGGGTGTGTTAGAGCGGTTACGCACCAGGCTGAAGGGCAGCTCCGACAGACCTCAAAATGGGGCAAGCTAATGCGCCCACCCCAACCCTTTCACGGCTTTTGAAAAGGCGGATGCAGCTCGGGCTTCTGGCCGCGAAGGAGCTCTCAAGGACCAGGGTTGGGTATCCCGGCCGAGGTAACATGGGACATGGCCAACACAGGTAGGTTTCCGGAGCTCAGAAGAGGCCTCTCCTTAGAACCACTGCCCCTAAGTAGATCAGTCATGTGTACCCCGAGGGCGCCCGGGCTCTGGCTGTCCACCGCCCGTTTCCACTGCCGACCTACATACCTGGTTGCCCAAAGCGGGCCACACGCAGCCCCGAGCCAGCCCACCTCGATCGCAGCAGCCACGGTTCCCGGGAGAAAGCGCTTGGAGCCCCAGAACAGCCAATCCTCGGCCCCAGACTTGCAGAGAACTCCTGTGCGAGCCTTCCAAAATCGAACGCGGAGACTTCGCTGGCCAATCAGTTGCGGCGGAGGGGAGGAGGCGTGTCGTGCCCTGCCCCTCCGCCGGCCTCCAAAAACCAATGCCTAGATTCCCTGGGTCCAATCAGCGGCACAGCAACGGCAAGGAGGCGTGTCCTCACGGCCCTTCCCTGGGCTCGGCCACCTTAGAACCTAGTCCGGAGGCAACCCAGTCCTTGACGTCAGTCCCCAGGGCCAGAGCGGTTTTGCTGGCGCGGGAGCCGGGCGAGGCTGCATTCCTGCCCCCGGGTGCGGCTGCGGCTGGCCCGGCAGGGTACACATGACGTGACGGATGCCTCTTCTCCTGGGCCGAGGCCAGCGCATGCAACACCGAGTTCTTTGCTACGCGTGGCCCTCTATGCGGCTCTTTCTACTCCGCAGCTCCTAAAACACTCTCACCTCGACGCCCACTTGTGTTCTGGCTTCAGGGAGAGGAGGGGGCAGTCAGTGCTGCGGTCAGAATGAGCTTCAAAGCCAAAATGGCATATAGATTCTAATCTTGTATCTGTGCAACTTTGGGCCGGTAACCTAAACGAGACGGTACTTAAATTTTTCTACTTATTCAAAACCGTTCATTAGGGACCTACACTGTCTGGGTTTCTTGACAGTAACAGAGCCAGAAGGCCAGGCTGCTGAGCCAAGAACTCTCTCTAGCCCACTCTAAGCAATAGGAAAGCCAAACCCATGGCCTATCAATGCTTGGAGAATTTAGGAATCGTGATGCTACGAGCCAGATGAGCATACCAAGGTAGAAATTGGGAACTTGTGACTTCTCAGTCAGATGTGGTTAAGGGTGTATAGAGAATATCCGGTGTTTCCAAACATCTTTGCAGGCTTGTGAATAAGATCATTTCTATTGTTAACAGCTGTATAATTTAATATTTATGATGAGAAAATAGAGTACTTCTACAGTTGAGTGGAACATGCAAGGCCTCACCAGGAAGGGGACATCTGGTACCCACATAATAGTGTTGGAAGCAATAACCACCAATAAACAGGGATCTGTTTAGAGAAGGTTGACTTTGGAGAATGTCATCTTGTGTCATTCAGGCCAAAACCTGTTTTTACCCCAGAACCCAGATTAAGTGAAGTGGATAAGGAACTCTTCTCAGGCATAAAATTTGAAAGGGCTCCAAAAAACTCAATAATCAAGATAACATCTTAAGGCAGTATTTAAAAAATTAAAATTAATACAAAATATCCATGATGAAAAAATATCAAAAAGTTTAAAAAGATAGGCTATTGTTTGTTTATGACTCTACACATTTTGTAATGGGAACAGGCCATTTCCAATCAGTCAGTTGTGGGTCATGATTTCTCAGGTGCCAGTCTGTGGTCTCTTGGCTGTTACTTTGAGCCTATGGTGGCACATCATGGTAGAAGAAGTCTGCTTACATCATAGAAGCTGGGAAGCAAAGAAAGGAAAGGTCTGAGTCCCGATATCCCCTTCAAGTTTCCCTAATGAACTAACAGTTCTCAGGCAGACTGCCATTGCAATGGCTTTATGAAGATGACAATAGCATGTGAACAGACTGGGCAACATGGGGATTTAAATGTAGCCATATTTTTTGTTTTTATCCACTTTTTCCATTTGGGCTTGAATATGGGAGGATGTTGAATAAGTTCATATTAGCGTGTATATTTTTCCTTTCATCTCAGGCTCCAATATCTTTCATCTCAGTGCTGTTTTTACCCTTAAGAGAAATAAAGTCTAGGAAAAGGGTTCTGTCTGGTCAGCCTTAAGTAAGTGAGTTAAACTTCCTGTCTCCCAACTTTCTTGTTTTTAAAGTGGGAATGCTTAGGGCTGGAGATGTAGAGCAGTAGTAGAGAATGTACTTAGCATGTGTGAGACTTGGGTTCAATCCCCAGCTCTGTAGAATGAATGAATAAATAAAATCAGACTAATCATACCCACCTCTCAGTGTTGCTGTGATAATGAAGTGAGATACTATGAGTGCCTTAATAGGCTGAGTGCTTCAACTAACCCTGGATTGAAAATATTTGAAAAATAAAAACAATAAAAAGACAAACCAAACAAAAAAAAATTGAAAAATAAATTGTATCTGTATTGAACATGTACAGACTCTTTCCTTGTCATTATTCCCTAAACTATGCAATATAACAACCATCTATGTAGCAAATATAAGTTTTATAAGTAATCTAGAGATGCTTTAAAGTACATGGTAGGATGTGTTTAAGATGGGTTTACTACATCTTTTTATGTCAGAGACTTGAACATCCGCAGAGGTTCTAGAAGCCATCCCCTCATGAATATTGAGGGGCAGCTATGCCTTGCTGCAAATGCTAAGCCAACACTGGACTCTTGCTTCATATCCTGCATTTGGACATTTCTGGTATCCCAGTGATGCTGAGACTTGTTCACGTGAGTTTCCAATTGGCATGTATCCTGTTCTAAAGAGAGCAGAAAAGACTTTCACACTCTACTGACAAGCCACGTTATATGTGAGTCAACTCTGTCTTTTTTTGAAAAATGATAATGATCAATCTGAACCCTTTTTTAAAGCATCCTTCTGCTTATGACATTACATAAAGCAATTTAGATGGCAGACCTCTTTTTGGAACTTATAGTCTAGACAGGCAGAAAATATCAAAGTCTCACAGACAAATAGTACCTTATAGAAATACTAAAAAAAAATTCATGTAGATTAGATTTAAAGCATAATATGCTTGAGCTGCTTCTAAAAATTCCCAAACACTGAGTAACTTCAACAAGAGAAATTTATTTTCTCACTGTGGAGACCAGTTGGGAAGAATAAGGCCTAACTGGCCTCCTCAGTTAGTACTGAGAAGAAAGGGCATGCAAGCGTGCCAACATGCTGCAGAGAAAAGTAAAATCACCTGAGGCTAAGTTGTATACCCAGAGAAGTACCGTGGAGGGTGGGAGACAGATGAATCCTGTGGAACTCTAATTGCTTGTGGCCACATCTGAGTGAATAAAGCCAAAATGCACCAGTCACTCAGGCCTCTAGGTCAAAGGGAGATATGAGCCCCCCTGGCCCTCCAGATTTTAACCTGTTTCTGTGTCTGTTTATTTTTCATTCTCATCACTCATCAGGTTTGAGCTCATAGGCTGGTTCCTACATCTCACAATTCTGGAGGTTGAGAAATCCAAGATTGAGATGCCAACCAATTCCATTTCTGGTGAGGGATTGCTTCCCAAGTTGGACATCTTCTAATATGGGAGAGGGGAGAGGGAAATTAAGCAATCACAAGTGCACAAGAGGGGGCTGAATTCACCATCCTGATAAAAAGATAATAATATCCTCGGAATTGACATTAATGCATTTGTGAGGACTGATCCCTCATGACCTAATCACCTCTTATTAGACATCACCTGTCAACACGGTTGCTTTGGGAATGAAGTTTCCAACACATGAACTTTAGGGAATACATTCAAACCAGAGCAATTTTCAAGGTATCAAACACCCTGTTGTACACCTTAAATAAATACAATTTTTATTTGTCAGTCAAGTTTCAATAAAGCTGGGAAAAAATAAGTAATAAGTGAATCATCTCTTAGAAGACAGAGAGCACACATATCATTGGACTTTAAGAAACAGAAGACCCAGCATCCTCAGTCAAGGTTCTGGAAACATTTCTTCACTTTTTTTTAATCTCCCATTCCTTACGGGTGTTTTTATTGGCCAATGCCAGTTGAAAGCCAGTGTGAAAGAGAACCTCCTGATGTAGTTTTTTTTGTGGTTTTTTTTTGGTACTTGGGATTAAACTCGGGACCTTGCGCTTGCCAGGCAGGCGGCGGAACCACTGAGCTAAATCCCCGGCCCCTCCTGATGTAGTTAAAGTAGATCATCTTGCAGGGCAAAAAACAGAGGAAAATGGTAGAGAGTGGATCAGGAAGGCTTGGATCATGCCAACTAAACTGACTTAAACAAGGAGAAGCTTGTTTTCTCACATCACAAGTTCAGAGGCAGGGAGATTTCTGGAATGACTTATTCAGCAAGGCAATGATGTCATGCAATACTATGTCCTGTCATCCTTAGCACATTGGGAACATCTCTCCCCACAAACCAAAGCTGGTTGCAGCAGTTCTATGAGTAAAATTCAACAAGGACTATATTCCTTCTTATGCATCAAGTTTTAAAAATATACCATTTTTAGAGCTGGTTTTCTTTTCTTTTTTTTTTTGAGTGAGTGCTGGGATTACAGGCGTGCACTACCCTGCCAGACTAGAGCAGTTTTAGATTCACAACAAAATTGAACTGAAAGTATAGTGAGTTCCCATATACCCAATGCCCCACACCTGCATGGCCTCCCCACACTACCAACATCCTCCACCAGAATGGTAATGTTTTAGTCAGCTTTCTGTTGCCGTGATAAAATACTTGAGATAAATCAACTTAAAGTAGGAATGGTGTCACAGGTTTTAGTCTGTGGTCTTTTGGCTATTACTTTGAACCTGTGGTGGCACATCATGGCAGAAGCACATGGTGGAAGAAGTCTGCTTACATCATAGCAACTGGGAAGCAAAGAAAGGAAGAGTCTGAGTCCCAATATTCTCTTCAAGGACATGTCTCCAGTGAACTAACTTACTTCCATTGAGCCCCACATACCTAAAGTTTCCACCACTTCCCTGTAGTGCCACAGGCTAGGAACAAAATCATTAACACATGGGCCTTTAAAAGACATTCTAGATCCAAACTATAACAGGTGCATTTGTTGCAATTAGTGAACCTGCACTGACACATTATTACATGCAAAGTCCATAGTTTACATTAGAGTTCACCCTTGGTGCTATACAACTGATAGGCTTTGAGAAATGTATGATGGCATGGGCCCACCAGTGTAGTTTTATTAAAAAAAAAGTGTTACTGTCCTAAAATTCCTTTGCTGTTCCTATTCATCCTTTTCTTCCTTCTCAACCCGGGTAACCATCATTTTACCATATCTATAGTTTTGTCCGTCCAGAGTGTTATGTATTTGAAATCATACAAAACATAGCCTTTTCACTTTGGCATCTGTCATTTAGTAATAATTACTTAAGCTTCTT